GCCAGCAGCGACTCTGCAGCGGCGGCGGCGGCCCAAGGTGTAAACAGTTTCCCCGGCGGCGGCGGCAAATCGGGATCTGCCGCCGCCGCCGGTGCCAGCGCCGGGGCGTAGGTGGCACCCAGCAACACAAGCTCCGGAACCAGGGTCCGTTGCTGCTGTCGCCATTCGCCGGCTAGCAATCGCTCCTGGCTAAAGCGGGGCCCGCTGGGGCAGCTGCCGCCACCGCTGCCGCCACCGCTGCCGCCACCATTGCCGCCACCGCTGCCACCACCGCTGCCACCAATGCTGATGTCGCCATTTCTGTCGGGCAGCTCCTCACTTACCACCTGAAGAGAGAGTGAGAGAGAGTGAGACAGAGGGTGAGAGAAAGAAACATCCCCTCAAGTCAGAGATTGAAATCCGGGCGGCAGGCAGCAGGCAGGAGGAGGAAGAGGTGTACGCCTCCCTAGCCGATGGAGCACCCTCCGCGAGCAGAGTGTTAGCCTGGCGGGCGGCGAACTCACTAACCTACTGTTCGTTGACGATGTGTCACTGGTAGCGACAGGGCACGATAGAGCAGAATGCCTTCTGGGGCTACTCGAAGCCTACTGCAAAGCGACGGGTATGGCTGCGAATGCCGCCAAGTGCGAGGTCCTCATTTTTGGGGCGCTACGCGTGAGCGGAAGCGGCGTATGGAAGCTGAGTACCGGTTAGGTGGGGCGGGGTTGCGGGTGCTGACCCGCAACGAGACGGCACGGTATCTCGGGTTGCACTATGGCCCAGGAGTGCAGTTCTCAGCATGCACCAAGCAACTACTCACAGCAGGGAGGCGGGCCACGTTTGGGCTCAGCACCCTGTGTCGAGATAAGAAAACTACCACCCCCAAGCTATGTATGTCTCTCTACAATACACTAGTTTCAACGGTGTTTTCTTATTGAGCGCAAGTTTGGGGACCTGACTTCATAAATGTGAGTTTTGAAGGTGCTATGACTAATCCCATGGTCCAGGAACAGCATGCATACGTGCGATCTGTAGTTGTGGCGAGGAGCCCGACTATGGTTTCCCTATACCGCGAGCTGTCACAGAGGCCGCTCCAGTTCCATTGGACCAATCTTGTACTTAGGTTTTGGAACTCTGTGGTTAAGAGGCCGGGAACGCTGTGTCACCGGGCATTTGTCGCTGACCTGGAGTTGGCACTTGGGGGCGTCACTGAGTGTTGGGCAAGCAAGGTACTAGCCTTTCTTACTAGCTTAGGAGCGGAACCCCCCACTAATACGCGCGGTAATGATCTTATAGCGTACTACGCCACCCTTAAATTGCCAGTTGAGAGCATCCTTAAGGTATTTGCCAAGCGGCTTGATGCACGGTGGGAGTGCCCGAATACCTTGGGTGACCCCCATAGGGTTTTCCCCATAGGGATTACCGGGGCCAAGGCTTGTCGCTACATGAACTGGATGGGAGCTGCCCCGCCTAGGGGTGCGCGTCTCGATTGGTTGGAGCACACTAAAGGGACCATGCCCTAGCGACTACATCATGAACTCATGCTTTTTCGGTTAGGCTGTTGGGAGTTAGAGGTTAATAGGCCTAATGGGCGTGAGCGCACCGTGCGTACCTGCAGGCTTTGTGACTGTGGAGCGGTTGAAGATGAGTTGCATGTTTTCGAGGAATGTCCCGCTTACAAGAGCATACGGGCTAAGTATGATGGTGATCTAGTCTTTAAGGGGCGCAGCATGCGCACCGTTATGACTGAGGCGCCACCCCTGGCATTGGCCAGGTACCTCTCGAAGGAAATTTGGCAGGCCAGGCATGTCGCGCTGAGGCGCTTCACCCTGAAGCGGACGAGGGAGAATGAAGATGACCTCCCGCGTATTCACATCTATCCCAAGACAACGTCCATGGCCCCCCCCGGCTTTTATGGACACACCCGCACTTGTGTGCGGAACTTGTAACTTGTAACTTTACCAACTTTGTAAATAAAACCGAACACAACCGGATATAACAGCCAACGCCAACGGTCAGTAATCCGTAGCTATTGGTGCAGATATGAGAGTAGGCAGGCTTCTAAGTTCAGGCGGACGTCATCATGGGATGAGAAAGTGAGAACCCTCCTAATGGTACCCCCACAGAGCGAACCCCCACTGCTGCATCATCCGTGTTTCCCCCCCTCCTCCTCCTCCCCCCCCATGTCCCTCCCCTCCCCCCTCTCCCTCCTTCCTCCTCCCCCTCGCCCCTCTCCCTCATATCCACCATCACTTCCACTACCACCCCCACCCACCTGCACCAGCGCCGTAATGCGCCGCATCAGCCTCGCCAGGCGCAGCGCCACCGCTGGCTGTGATGCACCCAACCAACCTCCAACAGGAGCCCTAGTCGGAGGAGGCGGAATCAAGTTACTTCGCCACGTCGACGCCGCCGCCGCCGCCATCATCCCGTTAACTCCTGGTGATGCCCTTTGTCCACATACATCACCTTCACTGCCACCGCCGTCGACAATTTGTCTGTCGACGACAAAGTCTCTGCTGCTGCCGACACCGCCACCGAGCTCACCGGGCTGAGGGCTGAGAGCCACAGCGGCTGACTCCGACTGGCTCAGCAGTGCCTGCGTAAGTATGTATGTATATATGCATGTCATAAGGGGACGAGGGGAGATGGCTCGCGCGGATGCCATGACAGCGAAAACAGGA